CAGTGCTGCTTATTACTGTAAGTAGGCCTAGTTCCGTTTTCTATTTTGCTGAGTGGAAGTGCTGCTTAATAGTGAGCTGACTTAAATTTTCCTGTGGTAAATACTCTTTTTAAAGGCTCAGACACCTTGACGAGGCACTGTCTGATCTTAAAGCTGAAGATTTTGTGTCTTTGCCATTTACTATGTAACATAATTGCTGCTTTCTTCGGTAAATACCTATTTCCCAATTTTTTCCTATCGTTCTCTATGCTCTTCACAAACCAGAGAGTAACAATTCATGTTGCAGCTATTTGCTGAGAACTTGGGAGTCCACAGCTCTTTTGCATGCTGTCACTACACAGTTTTTACAGTTGTGTTGGGGACTGGGGAATACCAGACTTTCTCACCGCCAGAAAGTCTTTTGTAGCTTAATTGAAACTAACCTCTCTTGGTCCAACAGTTGGGGAAGTAGTCTTGTATATATCTAGCCATAACTGGATTGTTTAAACCATAGATGTAAGGGACATGTCTTACAGAAGTAGGGCTCCTACTGTTCCTGCAAAATCCTCTGGATTTTCTATTAATTTTAAATGGTGTTTTTGGAGAATTTAAATTTTCAAACCTTGCCTGCAAAGGCATTTCTTTATAACCAAATTATACATATAACAGTTGCAGTTCATGCCTTGTGTAGAAACCGTGACAAGCATGCAAATGCTGTCAGCTTATTATTGCAGTTGCCCTGGACAGAGCTTTTGCTATTATCACAGAATGGCTGAAGTTGGAAGGAACCTCTGGAGGTCATCTGGTCCGACCCCCCCTGCTCAAGGAGGGCCACCTAGCAGATTCCCTTAGTCTTTCACGGAGGCTTTGCTGCAGTTGAAATAAAATGAAGGTGTTTGGAACAGAGTATCAGATTCCAGGAACATTCATGAAAACTGCAAAATTGAAAGCAGAGTTTTCTAAGAAAATTAAATTTCATATTTGTATCCTGTGAGTTCTGATTCCTTTATTTACTATTTCAAGCAAAGTGTGAATGGAATATCTAATTTATTGGGAGCTACAATCATATTTCTAAAAATGAATCTGCATAAACACAAAAAAAAACCCCTTGCATCTCAGTAGTATTTTTAGGCGTCGCAGTTAATGTGACCCTGGTAACTCATGAGAATGCAGTCAAGCTGACAGGAGATTACTATTTCAGACACTTCTTTGCATTCAGACACATTCTTTGGGATGGGAACACTTCTTTCCTAATATTTTAGAACATTCATGTTTTGTATATGTCAGAGTTTTGATTTTTAGCTTGATTAAATTGTTTTAAGTACTTTGATTCACCTTAATGGCCTTTCTGAATGTAATAATTAATTTTAAAATGGAAGTTTTTATAAAAATGAGTAGTAATGAATTTACAACACAGTATGTAGTATTAAGTAAGAATCTGATAGTTTGCCACATATTGACAATTTCTTGTCTGTCATTATATGCTTTGCATTTCAATCTGAGTGAACTTTGGTAATCAGGTTAAAAACTCATCTTGTTTGTCAGAAAAGATGTTTACAGACTGATTTATTTCTCTCTTGTGCTTTGAATGGAGCTGGGCTCAATTAACCTGTTTAATAGACGGTAGTGGCACAAACAGATGCTGCCATGGTTGTAACTGATGCAATACAGCGTAGGATTAGAGCTGGGTAATGAATATATCAGTAGGCTGAAATTACCATTTAGACTTTGCTCCTGTACATGAGAATAAGGTTACATGCAACAAGCATGGCAAACTAGATTATGTTGTCTTTATGATTCCTGAAAAACATAATCTTTTCTCCCCCTATGTTAGAAAGGGCTTATTCTATGTAAAGAGGTGGTGGTAGGACGTTGGTGCTGAAACATGCCATGTCATTATCACCTTTCCCACGGAGATGTTGAAAATTCAGTTACAGGATGCTAGAAGAGTAGGCAATTGAATATTTATTTATCATCCATCCTCACAGAGTACGTTTGGTTTGAGTATCTATTTCTAAATATTAATTATTTGATGTTTCTGCTAAAAATTAACTTTTACACTTTTATGCAAAATTTTAAGGCTCTAAGTGTTGTGGCAGTTGGCATTGTTTCAGGTTGTACCTTTGATTGCTTGAGGGCTATATTCAATGTAGGTCATTTTTTGAACATAGCACATGGGTCCTGGAAGAGAAGGCCGGGGGACAGAGAGAATTCTTGAGATGAGAAAGGGTGGAGAGCAAGCCATTGATGTCTTCAGTGCTAGTACCTAACCTCCGTGAGGTACAGGTTAGTAACTGCTGCTTTTCTTAAGAAATTCATGAGTGAATAGAGATACTGCTATGGATGGTGGCAAGAACATCAAATATTCCAGCATGATCCTTAATGAGGGATGAGGAAGAGCAAGAACTGGATTTTCAGGAGAAAAAGTAAGGAAATGAGTTACTTTCTGGTTCATTTCAGCATCACAGTGCCTTGTGAGTAAGGTCTACTGTTCAATGCCTGGTTGAAAGTTTGTAAGTATCACCCCACTGCTAACTAAAGTGTATAATGTCAAACCTGCTGTGCTCAGAAGAATGGCACACTCTTAGCAACTGGGCTTACGCACACAGAGGGCATTAAAAGACTTCACAAGAGTCTTAGGGCCATCTTGCCAAGATAGGACATTTCTTATTTTAATACTTTACATCTGTTAACTATGGAATGCTATGTAAACTTAACATATGCTTCTCTTAGGACTGTTCCTTTTTCTGTCATCTACTTTCCTTTGTTTGCAAACTGAATGGTATAGGAGACTATTAAAAAAAAAAAAAAAAGCCCTGCCCTAGTGGTTTTTCGTAACTGGTTATGTAGTTGTCTCTGGATGCTCTTTAACAGTCAACCCCTAAAATGAACTCTTCTCAATATTTCCCTGCTTGACTCTGGGCTTAACTATGGAATGGCACCTCATGCTGCTCCATAAAAAGTAATCAAGCAAAACTCTTGGGAAGGTAGATAAGCAGTTTTAAGGTCTAACTGGCACTTAACAGCACGATGAGGCTTTTCCCAAGGATAAATACTGATGTTTACAGTAACACACAACTGAACTTCAAAAGGTCAAAGAATGTCTAACAGATGTATGCAACTTCCCTCCCACACAAACAAAAATGGAACTTTATGTTAATACCAACAAAAGCAGGACTATGTTAGTAGGTGTGTCACTGGTTTTTGCCTTCTGGTTTTGCTGGAAGCAAAAATAAACAGAAAGGAAGACGAATAAAAGATCTATGCCAACAGCTGGGTGTAGAGTGTCTATGAGGGTTATCAGCAGGTTAATTCTCCGTGGGCACAATGGCAGTCTTGAGTATAGTTGGCAGTTCAAGCTGGGCATAACAAGTTGGTCTTCATCTTCCTGGCTCTAGGGGCTTGTTTGGGTCTGTTACTTGCCAAAATAAATCAAATCTCTGCCTGGATAACTGAAAGAGCATGAATGCTGCTCTCCTGATGTGAACCTCTGGACAAATCTGTTCCACTTAATACTCCACTTCAAAAGTGAAAATTGTTTTTCATAAAGACACATGTGCAGTCACTGAACAACTAAGAGAGCTATAGTGAAGTAACCCACTTTACAAGGCAAAACACATGGTTGGGAAGGGGTGAAAAAAGACAAAGCTTTTGATAGTGATTTGACATGTTAGTGGCATGTATTACCTGAAAATTGTATTTAAGGGGGTTTTGAACCTTCAGTGCATCTGCACAGAGCTGCAAATTCTTAGCTCTGAAATAGTTTGGGTTTTTTTTTGGTAGTTATATATTGTTAAAAATCATTTTACTACCATTTAATTTATTTATACACTTAGATTTTTTTCGTGGCTGCATTTGCAAAGACATGCAGAATGGTAGTGCTGTCCCTCAGTCAAGGAAGCATGGAGAATTTTATTTTTTGTTAGCGCCATTCATGCCTTCACTGTAGTCTTGCTGTCCTTTCTACAGTACTCCTGGATCAGTAGAGGTCACATTTACTTGAGCAGGGACAATTTAATCAAACTGCAATTTCATCACTTCTATTGTAGGTAGTAGAGGTGAGAGGCAAAGTTGCAACTCTGTCACTGGATTCTATAAGCTCTTCTACTTTGTTTTGGAATCACTTAAACCAGGTGGAAACTAGCTCTCATTCTCAGGGAATATTTAGTACAATCAGAGCTTGCCACAGAGTCATCAGGTCTAATGAAACAATAGCACAGGCGGGGAGGGGGGCAATCTCAGTGGAAAGGAAACAATTGTTAATTTACATTTATTTCCTTATTCCTGGGTCTGTACTTCTCACCTGTGCATGTTCAATACATAAGGTGGGGCTCACCTCACTTTCCCACTCACAAGGGACCTGCTGACCTGTGTGGGGAAAAAGATTTTTTTCTGAGTTTCACTTTAAGTTTGATGGTATTAAGCTCCCCTTCTGGAGAGTAACAAGATTTGAAGCATCACTGATTCTTCAGTGCTCACAGAGACAAGTTTTTCAAACAAGAAAAGAGAGGCTTGCTCCACTAGTGCAGACATGAAAAAGCATGCCTAATGAACACAGGTCTGAACAACAGTGGTGATGACATAGATCTATAGTGTAGATAAGCAAACTGTATGTGCTTAATCCCAGTTGACTACACTGAAGCTAGAGTCCTAAAAAAACCTAATATTACATATATGGAAAAATACCATTGCTAATATGAAGGCTGTAAATACATGTTTAAATCAATAATCTAAATCTAATTAAAATGTTCAATACTAAGAGTATGCATTGCCTTTTTTTTAACTCTGAAATATATAAAGTGTTTTGTCTCTGAGCACCTCTTCACAAAATACCTGGGATTTATGAGCAAAGGCTTATATATACACATAGTAATTTCTCCTTCTCCGCCAAAGTAAATTACATGTGGGTTCTAAATACAAACCTGGAGTCCTATGATTCTGCTTTTGTGCATGTTGCAGAATATCCAGTTAATTGAAGTAACTAGTGATATATCTTTAGAATAAAACTTTGTGCACACCGATTTGCAAACCTGTTACGAAATACACTTTTATTTATGTTTAGTTGTGAGCAGAGCAGAGAGGTACATTTTGACCACATTCTGTTGGAAGCTTACATGTTACAGAGCTTCTGTGGTTTAGTGCAATAGTTTGTCCTAACCTTCTCATGAACACAGTCACTATAATCAGTGTTACATTTACCACACTTGCAGCTCACAGCCACAGGGTAGGAATAATAAGGGATGGTGTGATGAGGACAGCCCGGAATCAGTGCTGTTTGATACAACATCTCTTTATATGTGCACACGTTCTGGGACAGAGCACTTTTGAGTAGCAGCTTCTTGCCATTGCTGTCCTACGAAAGAAAAAAGAAATGCATTGTTTCACTGAAACATACAGAAGACTGCCTTTGACGTTTTCTCAAACGTGCAGAAAGCAAACCTCTTTACACTTAGACTGGCTCTAATATTTTCAGCGTACTTCTGTTCACATCTGTAAGTCTGAATCTGCATGTGATTGGGGCTCTCCACCCCCGTAGGTACGTTCACCTTGCTTTCATGGTTTTAACTAATCTGCTTGGCTCAGAGTGCTAACGGTGCTTTGTAATCTGTATTGGCTACGTACCAACCAAAGTGGAACTTAAAATGCTATGTTGAACAGTGAAGCTCAAGCATAGTGTTTGGCATGCCTACATGCGAGATATTCTCCGCAGCTAGCTGTCATAACAGCAGTGGGAGTAGAAGTTACCCAAGTCATTTACATTAAATAAGAGTGACTAAATATAATCCGCTTCTCACCTGTTCCTTCCTGACCCCACAAACTGACTACAGAGGCTCTGCAGTGACAACAGCACTCAGTTCTCTGCTATGCCACTGGTGTTACAAACTCTGTAGTTCCGGAGGCTTGGCATTTCTCATCCATACCTTTGCAAAAAGCTAACTTGAAAACATGATGATAGTGTGATTTTTCTGTGACAAACACTATTAGAATTGGATCATTTACACACAATTTTCCAGAGAGAATAGGCACTTGTTTTGCAGTGATGGCCATTACAGAAACAACTGCCTAAAACAGTAATGTCTTGTACCCGAGTCATGCAAAATCCAGCGCAGATGGTGGTGTTGATGGCCAGGCAGTAGGCACATTCCCTTTTCTCCACATGGATTATATACTCAGAAGGAGCACAAAGTGATGCTGTTTGACCGAAAGTCAGGCCAAAGAGGAGAGACATCACAAAGAAGGGACTCATGCTAGATGGGGGAAAAACAAACAAACAAAGCAAACCTTAAGTAAAATTAAATGTACCTTCCAATCCCTTTCTCAGAATTTGACAAGAACAGTTACAATAGTCACAGACTAGAAGTCATCTTAACTTTTTTAGCTACACCCTGACAAATTCTTTCCAATCTCAGACCTTTAATTGAAATAGTACTACCCACTAAACAGAAAAGAAGGGTAAACAGGCCATTAACACATACAAGAAATTCACTTTTTCCCCACTAACGCATATTACATGGAACTTTTCACTAATAAGTGATAAAATGCTGACACAGAAAAATAACAGGAACAAAAGGATTTGAAAATGTGATATATGTGAGAGAACATGAGCTCTAGAATTAACCAGAGATGCTAAAATAATCTCACTGGTTTAACAATAATTTTCTGAAGAAAGCATTTTATAAAATGTTCAAGAGAGAAAAAAAAACAGCTGTGCATATCAGGCATACCACTGTATTTTTTTACTTCCCAGTCGGCTTAGAAGCATTATGAAATGGGAACACTGCCAAGAATTAAATAATAGATTCAAGCAAATTACAATTAAGAACATCAGCAAAGAGTTCAAATCAATGAATCCCCACTTTATCTGTCTGTTGTGCTGATCCCATTTCTCGGACCTGCTGGGGGATCCCGAGAACAAAGCTTTGATTAGCTCTGAGACAATTCCAGGGTCTACTCTATAGCCTCTAAACTACAAACTTTAAATGACAGTGCCTACAAACATATGGACATCACCCTCTAGTCTCTTCCAGCTGTCAGTTTCCCATAGCAAAAGCCATTCATTACACAGTCTGGTTTACCCTGTAGCTGCAACAATGCAAGTCTGGAAAGACCAACCTCTTGTCAGCTGAATTCTTCCCTATCACAGGAACCTGATTCTGCCTTGAGCTGGGAGAGGCAGTGACCCAGCACAAGCTCTGTGTGTGCTTTATACTCTCCAGGCTAATTCCAGGCTGATCTTACTGTTTATATAATTGCATCTGAATTGCTGCTTTCTTATCGCAAAGTCATCTATTGAAAATTCATACTGAACCACAAAGCAAATGTGATAGGAACAAATGTGTCCATAATATCCTAACCTGGAAACTGGAGCTGGAAATCTAATTATTTTAAGTTAGTCTCTTCTCAGGCTTTTAAACTAACCACTGCTTTAAAAAAGTTATTATTGATTAATTTAATCGCTACATACAACAGCAACATCATGACAGAAAGGCTAGCATGGAAATGGAGTCATCCTGAATCACATATGACTAATTCTACACCTATGTTTTGCAGAAGTTTAATGAAGTCTGGTTCATTCAGTTTGCTTGTTACCAGGCAGGCACAACTGAGAAGTGCAATGCTGTACACATGAAGTAACAAATCTCAGATCAAACCAATTGCTCTACAGTGTGGTTAGGTAGAGCCTGACTTACCTACTCAAACAAAACACACTGAGAAGTTATCTGGCCTTGAACCTACTGAGCAAATATTGAAGTAACAAGCAATTAACTCTGAAATACTAATTGATAGGGGAAAAACTTTTAAGAAACCACTCCTTGTAGCACAATGAGAAGCAAAATATTGCACCAACACCAGTGAAACTGAGATGTCCACAGATGAGGGAAAAACACTCACGTTTAGGGCTTTGCACCTGGGAGGAGCAAAAGTAAGAAAAGATCGAGTCAGCATGCACGTCTTGCACTGATTCAGCACAAAGCCACTGCTCTCTGCTGCTTCATCAGCGCCCGGCCAGCCTTCTCACTATGCTTACTCACTGCAGCCCTGTTAACACCCACCCTTTCAGTTTATCACCTAACTGCCATTTGGACTTACGTCTAATGCAGGTCAACTACATTCTTGATTTACGTAGCCATTAAGAAATATGATAAAGTTGAGTTTGAGCTGGTAAACATGGTCACTTTGGGCTATTGGAGGAGTCAGTCCCGATTGGTGTTTAGCTAATTCCTGAATAATATTGTCTCCTTTTCCTGTGGTTTCAGACTGCTGCACACAGCTTTGGGTCCTGGACTAATTCTCCAAGGGTTTTTCTGGATAACATGATAGAGTTCTTTTCTGTTAAGACGAGCCAAATGCTTTCTGTTTTCATGGAGTCTTTAATTATGGGTTAATTTCTACCATATAACTTCTCAGGAATTAAATATAACTCTTTCTGGCTTAAGGACATGAGCAGAGCATTAATCGTACTCTCAGTAACATCTGTCCATCTACACTTAGCAACAGAAGTATAACACTGTTATTTTGCTACTACTCCAATTCGTTATTTAACTCTATATTTTTCTGACGTATTTTGAATGCAGTTAAACATACAGGCTATATGAGTATACACATACATACACCCAAATGTAGATAATGTGTATATATATACACACACATACATTATATATACACATATACACTACATATATATGTATGGGTTTGGATGTTTAAAACTTTAATAACAGAAAAGAATGTTCGTTCTTGGAAAATCTTAAGAGTATTTCAAAGGAGACAACGATCCTGAAAGGAAACAATTCATAAAACTGAATCCTGGAGAGGACAAAAAGTGCCCAAAATAAGAATAAAAAATGGCATTCCTAAAGCAAGAATATTGCATGTGACCCTTGCATGCATAGCTGAAGCAGGTACAGCTAATTTTTTTCTTTAAAGATTTCACATGATTTACAAGCACAGCTTTAGGCAATTGGAGCTATATTTGTATACACTAGTTCTGACAGGAAGACCCCCACATCCAGGTTTAAAGTGTCCTCAACGTATCCTATAAGAATATAGGCATAGGACAGATCAGAGTATGAAGGCATATATCCTTTGCTGCTTCAAAGTGCTAATTTCTCTGATTTGATAAAAATGGGTGTAACTGGGGGGGCGGGGGAGGGAATTCAGATTTGGGTAAAAAAGGATTAAGAATTTGCTTTAAGAGGATTTAGGGAAATGTCTGCAAACATCAATAGCAAAGAAAAAAATTATAACAATGCTTGAAAGTCTATCATAGATAGCATAGAATGCAACAATAAAAACTATAGCAATGAAAAAAAGGAAAACAAACAACAATCACTGTTAGAAGTGAGAAAATGTAGAAGACTCACAAGGGAAGCTGGAGACTAGGAAATAAACCTCTGTCAGGACAGAGGCCAGCAGTCATGTCAAGGGACATTACTAGATGAAGACAAGCTGTTGATGCAGAGTAAGTGCAAAGTCTTCAATAAGTACCTGTGCCTTTGAAGATGTAGTGGCTGAACAACCAACATACATATTTGCAATGAAAATTATTAAATAATTTGCATAAGGAATAAATATTTTAAAATCAACATCATTAGCCAGCTAATGCTAATTTCAACAAGTCTTGGAATACTGAGGAAATTTCAAAACATTAAGAAAAGTGCTAATATTATGCCAATATTTAAAGAGAGAATGTTGACCCAGGTAACTCTCAACCAGCTAGTCTGACATCTATCCCTGATAAATCAGGTAAAATAACAGAAAGTTGATACAGGATTTGAGCAATAAAGAATTAACGGATGAGAACATAATTAATGCCTGTCAAGATGGTGTTACATAAAATAGGTCATGCCACACAAACCTGATTTCATTCTTTGAGGCGATTACAAATTTGGTTGTTAAGGCAACTACATAGATGCGATGTTCTTAGTTCCATCTGTCCACAGCCCTACTGTCATGAAGATTTAGAGCTATTAGGCAGAGTCCAATGTGGTGTATGCTGAATGTCAGGAATTATTAATCACTGAAGCAGGTAGTATAATTTCAGCAGCAACTTTTTTACCCAGCCTCTGAATGCACTGCATTACAGAAATATCTGACCAAGTATTAAGAATGAAAATTCATTTATCTGGAAGCACAAAAAATTAGTCTGAGTGGACCTTGAGACTAATGTGACTACTGCTGCTCATACTCAGGTTAGCTCCACGCTGATGTGGACACAGAACCTCTTGGCTACTACCTCTTCTTTGCTGGCATCACATTAGCCTGCCCATCTGTCAGAGATGCACTAAACATCACTAAACTGATATACACATTCACGTCTCTTCAGTAATTTACACAAACTATTAAGCTGGTAGAAGAAGTTTTCCGTGGTTGTCCTTCCGGATATGACCACAGAGTTCATTCACCATTCACTACTGACCTTTCTGAACACTTGATGGGAGCGAGGTCCCACTACCTACTGGGAGCAGCAAGACAAAAGACTGTAGCAGGACAACAAAGTCCAGTGTGGCAATCTATGAGTGCCTGAGGCTTCTTTCATACCGTTTCCTAAAATCCCTAGTTAACAGTCTGATGCTTATAGATCCATTTTTTGATTGCTCCCTGCTGACCTGCAGACTATTCAGCGATAGAAATTTTTAATGTGCTTTTACAGCCATCAGCTTTGTAGCCCTGTTCTGGAACAGCCAGTTACACTGTTAATTATTTATCTTTAACCTTTCTGTTAACTAAAGCAATCCATTCACTGACATCAGTTATTTTACACTTTCATTAAGTGAAGGACAGCATACTGATGTTCTACAAGAAGTGTTTTAAGTGATCTCTGTAAACAGACTTTAGTAACCATAAAATTCTTGGGTTCATTACCCAGGAATCTCTGTAATGGGCTAGAGAAATTCAGTGCATACCAGAAGCTTATGTGTAAAAGTAATTTAATAGGATTCACTGACCAAGGCCTTAGATAGAAGTAGGAACAACGAGGAGAAGTTATCACACATTATTCCTACTCACTCTTCCCCTGTTAGTAGTACAACACAATGAAAACTTAGTTATTTTACGAGCAGGTTAACTTACAGAGCAGAGTAACTCTTGTTTCCACTGCATAAAGCACTGTGGGTATTGAAATAAAAACATGTCCACGCTTGCAAACAACAGAGAATTAGAAGCTAGGCTGATGAAAAACAGACAAAGCCAATCAGATTTCTAAAAAGATTAGTATTCTGGTAGAGGAATTATTTCCAGCCCCATCCTGTTGCAGACCTCCACTGATAAAAGGAAATAAGATCCTAATATGCTGCCATAGAAACAAGTGTTTTCGCCAGGTTTTGCATTTAAACAGACTTTGGCTGCTGAATTTTCAAAGCTAATCTGTCCATTGCAAGTCTCTGTAATAGCTTGAAACATAGCTCTCATCTCTTAAATTTATAGATTCACAGATGATCTTTCTTTCCTAGGATTAGCTGCAGCATTTCCCATTAACCACAGATTAAAACAGCAGTTCTCTCTGTTGCATATCATATGCCAACGATCTCCATTTATGGTCTGAAAATACTTTATAATCCTATTTGCTGTTTGGCTCCTATGATGGACGACTTTGTATTTTGTTTCATTTCTTTGGAAAGTGCTAGATATTTCTGTTATTCTAAGATTTACAATTGCTACAGTGAGGATAAAATAAAAAAAAACCCCAAACAACAACAAAGGCCAGAAGCCTTCTGCAATATTATCAGGGATGAATGACTATATCCACCCAATATCATAACAATGGGAAGGGGTAAAAGCCACAGACACTTTTCCGTTTCTAACGGTTGTATTGTTCTCCTGATTTGACTGGCAATCTTATAGGCTGTCAGTAGGTAATCAGACAAGATCTCCACTGATGAAGATCTGGTATGGAGAATTACCACTATGCATGTACAATTGACTTTTTTTAGATAGAATTTAAGCTAGTTATATATGCTCAGTACGAACATTGGGGTATCTTTCCGTTTCTCCTTTTAGGCTTTGGGCATGCAGTCCTGTCAGATGCTCCTCTTACCCAACACGCATTCCTCTCTTAGGCAATCTCACATGCCCACCTGAAAAAGAAGTGTCTACCACAGCTATGACAGACTGTGAAGCCTGCCAAAGTGAATGCCTCCCAGTAAGGAAGCCACTCTAAGATTCCAACTAAAAATTAAAATGGCTGTAAAGAAGGAAAAGGGAA